CTTCCAGTCGAGGCCTTTCCCCTCCCGAGTGCCCCACTGTTGCGGAGGGCGATCAATGGAGAGGAGGCATGTTGCCAAATAATCTCCAGGTGTCTAGAGCATGTGTCAAAACCTGTGTGAAACATGTAAAAAAACATGGTTTAAACATGTTCAGGACATGGCTCCCACATGGCTCCTACATCTTAAACACATGTTTGATTCAATGATAGGACCGTTCGAGTGTCCATTGTCGTGGCATCCGCAACCCCATGGCACCTGGAAGGGCGGAGGAGTAGCGCTCGGACACAGCAGGGTGCAGGCTGCAGCCGGGGGGGCCGGCGAGCGCGACGACAGGGGACGGCACGAGGGCCGCGAGCCCTGGGCCGAGCCATCCTCCGGCTGCCACGACGCCCCGCGCGCGAGCAGGCCTGACTCAGCTGGAGCAGGCGCTGCCGCCGTCGCTGCTGCGCGCCTCGGACAGGCACCCCAAGGACGGGCCACCAACGACGAACGCGTCCGCGTGTCGGCGTTGGGCGCTGGGCGCGGGAGAGGGACTGTGAGCGGCATGCCCTGCGGCCCCGTCCGAGAGCCGGGGTCGCCGTGACTGGTGGGCGGCCGGCGGAGCATCGCCGCTTGGAGTTCGACCCGCTGTTCACGGTGGCTCCGCAGCGTCGCGGTTGGAGGTAAACGCCCCCAGAACGCCACGAGGCCCATTCGTGTGTCCGTGCCCTCTTTGCCCTCCTCATCACGATGCCAATCGTAGGGATCCCCTTATGTTGTGAGGGCGAATCCCTGAGATTGTCATCGCCTTTTGGCGTGTCAATCTTAGGGATAGGGATGCGTTCGAGGCTGGTAAGCGAATGCAGAAAAAGCGTGTCCGTGCCCTCGCGGTCTGGGCACCGACCGAGGCACCGTCCCTGTGGATGCGCTCCGCGCGCGGCCTCCGCGCAGAGCCGCCCGTGTAGCCATCCACGGGGGCCGCGGCCGATGGGTCCAGACCGCAAGTCAGAGGAAGGAACGGTACCCATACCTCTACCCTGCCCTCGTTCTACCCTTTTTGGGCCTCCTGGGAGGCCCTCGTCGCCACCGCTGGATCCGCCTCGAAATCCTGGGCAGAACGCGCCCCGGGAGAGGCCCGGGGAGCAGCGGTATGGGTACCTTTTGGTTTCCCCACAGCAAGGGCATGGCTAGGGACACGTCTTCCGCCCACGAGCCGGTTGGGGCCGCGGGGAGTGCGGCCGCCACCAGGAGCAGTCGGGGATCGTGGATATCCAGGATCGACGAGTTGGCTGGGCGTTCTTGGTCCGCTCTGGGCCTCTGGGCGGCTTCTCGTCGCCACGGCCGGGATCTCCCCCAGACTGCACCTGTCGCGACGCGCTCCAAGACAGGTCTGGGGGTGCATGCTGAGGGGAATGGAGCATACAGTCAACCCGCGCAGTTAAGGATGGGCAACCTTCCCAAGGGTACCCTTGCATCCTTGCCTCCTCGGTCTATCCTTGGCCGCTTTGGCTGGCCAAGCTCGTTCGAAGAAACGGTCGCGTGGCACTCCAAGGCCCTTGTATCCTTACCGCGCATCCTTATTCTACGGGTTGACTGTAGGGTTGTCCACGGTTCGGTCGATGCCAGGGTGCGTGCCGATGCCTGCGCGAGGCATCGCTACAATGGACCAAGCACCCCCCGGGGTGCCATTGCCCTTCTCATAGGACGGGGTTCGATTTGGCTGGCCGGATTACGCAAGTGATTTCCGATGAGCCCGCAATATGCAAAGGGAGGCCTCTGGACAACAATTGGTTAGATGCGTCATGCGTGAGAGTATAGCTTTAAGCATGAGTTGCCGCCCTCCCCGGCTATTGACGCTTATTACTGCTTATTAGTGGTCGTTAATCGGCGTTGATAGATACTCATAGGCGCAGGGAAGCGCAAATTGGGACACTGAAAGACACTTGAACCTGTTTCAAAGCCGCTCTCTCTCTCACACACAACACACAACACACAACAGACACACACACACACACACGCGCACGCGCACGCGCACGCGCACACACACACACATAACACACACACACACACTCACACACAACACACACACACACACACACAACATACACACAACACACAACACACACAACACACACACACACATCATACAACCTGGGGAGGCACGGAGGACGAGCAGAGCGCGAGGCGGTGCCGCACGCGGGGGGCGGGGCAATGCGGGCGCACGCGCGCGCGCTCGGCCGACAGGCCGCGCTCCGTGGCGCCGCTCGAGGGGGGACGTGTTTGTGACGGGGTGCGTCAGCCAGGGCGGAGGGGTGGGAAGGACGAGGAGGGAGCGGTGATCTTGGGGGCCTCTTGGACCGCCTTGAAAGGTGTGAAAAACGAAGAGGCGGATATGTTAAAAATGCACGTTTTCCTCAGGGAATGGGACGATTTTTGCTAGTGGGAGCCCTCTTGGGACGCCGCTTAGGGGCCTCTTGGGGACCTCTTGGGGCCCCGATGGTGACGGCAGGAATCTGTAACAGTGGTCCGATCCGTTCCTTCGGGGCTGACCGGGCAGCTCCACGTGAGGCGGGGCGAGGAGGGAGCCGGTCCCGAGTATGATGGCAGGGTTGTCTTTTCAGTGATCAGATTTCGTCTTTCACGGCTTCGTCGACTGCTCTGCGTTTACGTACCAGTGGTCCGGTTTCTTCCTTCACGGATGCGTCGATTGCTCTGGCGTGACAGAGGCAGCGGGCTGCCCAGCCATGCGGCATGGGGCTCGAGGAAGAGAGAAGAGAGAGAGATGCGGGAGCGTCGGGCGCCAGGCGTGCTCGTTCTCCTTCCCCCTCTCTGTCTCTCTGCTCCTCCCTCTGCGGACCTCCGCGGGGGACCCGCCGGGCCCGGCCAGCGGTGGGCTCGTCCTGCTGCTGCCGCTCGCCCTCCCGCCCGTCCTGCCCCCCCCCCTCTCTCTATTCCTATCCCTATCCCTACCCCTCCCTCCCTATCCCTGCCCCTATCCCTATCCCTATCCCTATCCTCTCTCCCTCCCGTCACTATCCCTATCCCTACCCCTACCCCTGTCCCTCACTCCCCATCCCTCCCTATCCCTATCCCTATCCCTATCCCTATCCCTATCCCTATCCCTATCCTATCCTCTCTCCCTCCCTATCCCTATCCCTGCCCCTGTCCCTCCCTCTCTCCCCCTCCCCTTCCCCTCCGGGGCCTGCCGACCCCAGGACGCGGCGCGGAAGGCCAAGTCGAGCCACCAGGCCGCTCCCCCTGCGGGGGGGGGGGGCTCGCGCGGGCACGAGCCGGAGGTGGAGGCGGGAGGGGGAGGGACGAGGGCGGGGGGAGGGCGGCGGGCGCCTGCTGCGGCCCTGGGGGGGGGAGGCTCGCGCGGGCACGAGCCGGAGGTGGAGGCGGAAGGGGGAGGGACGAGGGCGGGGGGGGGGCGGGGCGGCGGCAGCGGAGGCACTGGAGGCAGAAGCGGCAAGAGCTAGGGTCGAACACAGCACCGGGGCCTGCGCAGCCAGCGGAGGCGGCGCAGGCCCAGGCGAGCACCCCGCGAGGGCCCGCGGTCCCGCGGGGACCGAGCGTCCTGAGACCAGGCATCCGCAGGCTGCCGTGGGCGGAGGGGGAGGAACGAGGGCGGGGGGGGGCGGCGGAAGCGGAAGCAGGGGCAGATGGGAAGGCAGAGTGAAATCCAGGGTGCGCCAGCGAGTCTGCAAGATGCACCCGCCCGTCCCCCACGTGTTCTTCCTCCCACGTCTTCTCTCCTTCCCGGTCCCCACGAGTCTTCTCGCCACGCCCCAGGGGCCTGAAGAGTCCAGGCGAGAGTCCCACTTGAAGCGAGCCGCCCTGGATTCAGCGCGTAGCTGGCAGGCACCCGAGAGGTGTGGTAGTCCAGCTCACGGAGGGAGGGGCGAGGAGGAGGAGGAGGAGGAGGAGGAGGAGGAAGGAGGAGGAGGAGGAGGAGCAGGATGAGGAGGGAGGAGGAGGAGGAGGAGGAGGATGAGGAGGAGCAGGAGGAGGAGGAAGGGGGAGGATGAGGAGGAGCAGGAGGAGGAGAGGAGGAGGAGGAGGAGGAGGAGAGGCAGGTGGAGGAGGAGGAGGAGGAGGATGGGACGGAGGAGGAGAGGAGGAGGAGACGAGGAGGAGGAGGAGGAGGTGGGGGAGGGGGAGGGGGAGGAGGAGGAGTGTCCAGCGAGATCACCGCTCTGACACGGGGCCACCCCCCCCATCCGAGCGGCTGCTGCACGCTGCTGCTTCTGCTGCTGCCCGCGGCGGCGGGCACCCCGCGGCCCGGCACCGCCCCGGCGGCGCGGCGTGCGCCCGGCATGGTGGCGAGCCGCGCCCGCTGCGGGCAGAGGCGGAGGGAGGAGAGGCCGCGGAGGCGGAGGGGCCGCAGGGGGAGGGAGCGGCGCGGGCGGTCGAGGCCGCGAGGGCGCGGCCCGCCTTCCGCAAGCGTGCTTTCTCTTCTTCTTCTTCTTCTTCTTTTTCTTCTTCTCCTTCTCCTTCTTCTTCTTCTTCTTCCTCTTCTTTTTCTTCTTCTTCTTCTTCTTCTTCTTCGTCTTCCTTCTGTCCGCTCGCTGCGATCTGGATCGACGGAGGGTGCGGAGGCGGCGCTCGAAGGCCCCGGGCTTGGTATCGCTCGGACGTGTGCACTTCTTCTCGGCGGGGATTGTTGAGGAGCATCCTGGACCATCCTGCGAAAAAGCCGCGCACGAAACCGAAACAAAAACGGGGAATGGACGTCCGAGCGATGGCCAGGAGGAGAGGCCGCGGAGACGCAGGGGCCGCAGGGGGAGGGAGCGGCGCGGGCGGTCGAGGCCGCGAGGGCGCGGCCCGCCTCCTGCGAGCGTGCTCGTCCTGTTCTCCTGACACAGCTCGGACGTGTGCATTTTTTCCTCGGCGAGGGCCCTGGAGGAGCATCCTGGAGCGTCGAGCAAACAAAACACACGCACGAAGCCGAAAGAGGCACAGGGAATGGAGGTCCGAGCGATGGCGAGTTCTTCTTTCTATCCGCTCGCTGCGAGCTGGATCGACCGAGGGCGCGGAGGCGGCGCTCGAAGGCCCCGGGCCCACGCTGGAGCTTGGAGTTGCCTGCTCAGGAGGGCAGCACAAAAGGTGGTTCGCGTCGGCCCGCAGCGGTGGGGCCTCCCGAGTCGCGTGTGCCGTTGCAGCGGAGCTGGGCCTCGACGACGAACGCCTGCGGAGCACTGCACGGTATCGCAGCCCTAGAGGTTGACACCAACACTAACATCGGCGGTGTTCCTCCACTGGGGGAAGAGGATCCCGATCTCGGTGATGGTGGTAAGATTCTGGCTTCCAGAGTGACCGAAATATTACCACCAACACCGAAATCGAGGATCATCTTCCCCCTGTGGAGACAACCCCCTGTGTTGGTGTTGGTGCCAATTTCCGGGCCTCCCACGGTACAGGTCCACGCCGGAGCGCCCCGCGCTGCCAGCGAGGGCCTCGGTGGGCCGGCGGCAGCTGGCCCGGCCGCTGCGCGGGGAGATCTGCGCGCGTCCGCTGCCGCTGGCCAGGGCCAGCCTGGGCGTCGGGGGGCGGTGCATGGCGCCTCCTTGGCCGAGCCTTATGTCGGGCGTGTCCCGCTACAGGGGGACTTTCGACGAAAGGATAAAAATCCCCCAGACATATTCCAGAAAGGTCAAAAGATATACTCAAAAAATAGTCCCCAGACTATTTTGAGGGTATTTTTTTATGTTGAGGGTATGTTTTATGTTTCTGGGTTTATTTTATGTCTAATGTTGTATGTTGAGGACCAGTTCTGGGATCATTTTTGAGGGTATGTTTTATGTTTTTCGTCGAAAGTCCCCCTGTAGGGGGGACAGGCCCGACATGAGCCGAGCCAGAAGGGCGCGCATGCATGCAGACGCACCGCCCCCCCCCATGGGTGCACGGGAGAGAGGCCTGGCCGGGGACAGCGGACGTGCGCAGGGACCCGCCGGCCTGCGGCGGAGGAGGGCCACGCTGCACCTTCGGGGGGCCTCGCCCGCCCCCTCCTCCTCCTCCTCCTCCTCCTCCTCCTCCTGCGTTTCTGCCTCCTCAACCCCTCCTCGAGAAGTCCGCCTTTTGTCGAACCCCGCTCGTCCCCAAGGTGGGGGTCTGCTCCTGGGCGCGACGCGGGCTCGATGCGGGCTCGACGCGGATCCGGCGTGGGTTCGTCTCGGATTCGGCGCGGATTCGGCGCGGAGCCGACGAGTCCGACATGGACTCGGCGCTGATTCGACGCGGGTGGGGCCGCGAGGGGACAGCCAAGGTCCCAGCCGCGCCGCCAGGGGAGTCTCGGGCGAGAGCCCGGTCCCGTTTGGGAAAGGGACCGCTCTCTGTCCGTGCTGCAGAAGTCAGAGCGTGAATTACCTACCCCGCTTTCGCTTCCAGGCAAAACCAAGCCATACCACGCGCCTCCTCGTCAAGCGGCCTGACCAGTACAGGCTGCAATTTGGCATCGTTTGGTACCTCTTGGAAGCGAGGGTGGTCAAAAGCGAGGTAGGTTTGTTTTCCCCCTAAGAAGGCACGCCGAGTCAGCAATTTGCATGCCAGCGGGTGCCCCGCCAGAGCTTCTCCCCCGATGGTGCCCGCAGAGTCCACGAGGCACCCGACGGCGCCCGGGGTCAGCGAAAGATGTCCCCTGGATTCCTCGTAGCAAGATGTATGATCAGATGCACCCGCTGTATTTTTACACACGCTTCGGCTTCTGGCCATAGCTGTTTCGGAAAGTGTTCAGAGAGAGAGAGAGAGAGAGAAATAACAAAAAGAGGGGAATGAAAAGACAGGGAGCGAGAGAGAGAGAGAGATAGAGACGGAGAAAAAAATGGAGAGAGAGAGAGAGGGAGAGAAATATATCAGAGTGAGGGGGCCGAACGGCCATTCATTGTCCCTGGGTGCGTGGCTGAAGTGCGGATCCGTGGTGAGGATTCTGCTTGTCGTTGTTGTCGTCGTCGTCGACGTCGTCCCCCCAGCGACCCAGCCCGCGACCCACCCGCGACCCACCTCGCGACCCACCCGCGACCCACCCGCGACCCACCCCGCGACCCACCCGCGACCCACCTCGCGACCCACCCGCGACCCACCCCGCGACCCACCCGCGACCCACCCGCGACCCACCCGCGACCCACCCGCGACCCAGCCGCGACCCAGCCCGCGACCCGGCCCGCGACCCACCGTCGACCCACCCGCGACCCACTTGCGACCCAACCCGCGACCCACCTACAATATTTTCACAAAGAATTGGCGCCTGCGGCGGGCTCGTTGTATAACTTGAAGATTTGGCGCCTGCAGCGGGCTTCTTCGAAGCCTCGCAGACTGCCGACGTCACCGCCGCCCCCTCACTCTTCTCCGCAACTGCGGGGTGCTACGTATATACGTATAGAGAGAGGGGGGGGGGAAAACAAAGAAAGAGAGAGAGAGAGAGACAGAGAGATCCACTCAGATGACGGGTACCCTCTCTCCGTAAAATTGTGAGAAGCGATGGTTATAAGCCGGATACGCGCTGCGCTAAGGCGAGAGTCACATTCTGAAAACCACCCGTATGCACCAATGTAACACGTGTGTATTAAAGATCAGCGTGTTGACGCTCAGGCCAGAACCACATATTTGAAACGGGCCCACCATCCATCCCAATAGTTGCTGGGAGCGCTCATTACGAAGGCGTACGTTTGGCGGGTCGCGCCCGAAGGGGCGGGCCGTCTCGGAAGGCTCGGACGGCCTCCTCAGAAGGCCAGAGGAGGAGGAGGGGGAGGAGGTGGAGGAGGAGGTGGAGGAGGAGGAGGAGGAGGAGGAGGAGGAGGCGGAGGCGCGGCGTCAGAACCCAACGCCAGGGCCGTCACGACACGAGCCTGGCGATGCGGCCCCGACGGGGTTCCGCGCCGCCTCGTCGGCGGACCGCGCCGTGTATCGGCAGCGCCCTTTGGTGCGTGGCGGGGCTGCTTGCAGAGGGGTGGTGCTCCCCCCCCGCGCCGAGGCTCGATTCACTGCGATCAACTCGACCATGCCAGCGGCTCGATCGATCTCAGAGTAGGGGCAGGACGGCCGTGGGGATGGGGAGGACCACGGGGCTCCCACGAGACCCTCCAGGGCCCCCCAGAGTGTCCCAGCAGCCCCCAAAGCCGCTAGAACCCCCGGGAGGTACCAGAAGCGCTCAACGCTCTCAGGAAGTATCCCTCCTCTTCCTCGCTCCCCATCCCCTGCAGGTCCGGAAGGAGCTGGAGATGGCCAACGCGCTGAAGTCAGCCATGGAGTCCATCAAGAAGGAGAGCCCGATCGCGCAAGGGGTAGGTGGGAGGGGTGAGGAGGCGAGCAGGCGGGAGGGTGGGAGGAGGGGATAAGGACGGGAAGAGTCGAGGATGAGGAGGAGGACGACGAGGAGGATGAGGAGGAGGAGGTGGAGGACGAGGTGGAGGAGGAGGAGGAGGAGGAGGAGGAGCAGGAGTAGGGAGGGACCCCAGTGAGGATAGGCGCGGTTGGGAAGCGAAGGGCACGAGCTGGCGAGGACGAAGGGCAGAGGAGGCTCACGTGAGGAAAGGTGAAGACGAGGGGAGCGGAGGAAGAGGAGGAGGAGGAGGAGGAGGAGGAGGAAGAGGAGGAGGACGACGAGGAGGAGGTGGAGGAGAAGGAGGAGAAGGAGGAGGAGGAGGAGGCGCAGGAGGAGGAGTGGGGAGGAGGAGGGAGAGGAGGAGGAGAAAGGAGGAGGAGCAGCAAGAGGAGGAGGAGGAGGTGGATGATGATGAGGATGATGAAGATGATGAGGATGAGGATGCTGCTGCTGATGATGCTGCTGCTTTTGATGATGCTGATGATGCTGATGTTGATGATGCTGATGATGATGATGATGATGATGATGATGATGATGATGATGATGATGATGATGATGATGATGATGATGATGATGATGATGATGATGATTATGATGAATAGGAGGACCGGTCTAAACCCAAGACGCATCAACGATGTTGCAATAAACCTTCCCTCCAAGATCCCCTTCATGTGCCTCTCAAAGACTTGATGCTCGTTTTGGGAAGTGGCCCATCATAAGACAACCGTCTAAGAAGCCTGACTCGTGGCGAAACGCAGTTCCTGTTGCTTCACCGCCGTGGATGAACGTTGGGGTTGCGCCCTGGCATTTCTTTCGTGCCAGAGCACCGTTCTGGGGACTTCAGCACCGCGTGTCCACGCGACGGCTGCGTCTTGGCAGTCGTGGATCCTGCCGGAGCACCATCCTTGGGACTCCGACCACACGGGTTCTTGAATTTGTTGCCAAACGGTTCCGACGAATGCGCGCGGCATGAGTGCGAGAGCAACATTCTGAAAGTCACGCGCCCTCCCCCCGCGTGCCTGTGGCAAACTTTTCAGACGAAGGGGCGCAGCGCGAAGGCGAGAGCCACGTCTTGAAAGCCACCCGCCCTCCCTCAGTGAACGTGTTGCAAGCTTCTCAGGCGAATGTGCGCGGCGCCGAAGCGAGAGCCACGTGTTGAAAAGGGACCGTTCTCCATGCGTAAAGCTGTTGCGAACTTTACGACGAATGGGCGCAGCGCCAAGGCGCGAGCCACATTTTGAACACCGCCCTTCCGAAGCTGGAATTTGTAAATACGATCACACCTTCAAGTTTCAGAAGGGCGAAGAAGAGGGAAGGAAGGAGGGGGAACACGCAGGAGAGGTAGCAGGAGAGCCGGGAGCAATAACAGGTGGAGGACGAGGAACAGGACGAGGAGTAGGAGGAGGAGGAGGAGGAGGAGGAGGAGGAGGAGGAGGCGGAGGAAGGCAAACAGGAGGAGGATAATGACGGATAGGGGGAGGAGGACGAAGTGGGGGGGGGAGGAGAGCAGGGGAGCAGGGAGCAAGAGGAAGAGGAGGAGGGGAGCAGGAGGAGCAGGAGGAGGAGGAGGAACGCTTCAGCCTCGTAGCCTAAGTCTGAGCAGCGTAAAAGGAGGAGGACGAGGAGGAGGAGACGGGGGAGGAGGAGGAAGAGGTGGAGGTGGAGGAGGAGGAGGAGGAGGAGGAGGAGGAGGAGACCGACGACGAGGACGAGGACTAGGAGGACGAAAAGGGGAGGAGGAGGAGGAGGAGGAGGAGGAGGAGGGCGGAGGAGGAGGGGGAGGAGGAGGAAGAGGAAGAGGACGAGGAATAAGAAGAAGAATAAGAAAAAGAAGAAGAAAAGAAGAGGAGGAGGAGGAGATGGAGAAGGAGTAGGACACATAGGAGGAGGAGGAGGAGGAGGAGGAGGAGGAGGAGGAGGAGGAGGAGGAGGGGGGGGAGCAAGGAGCAGGAGGAAGAGGAGGAGGCTGAGATGGAAGAGGAGGAGGTGGAGGAGGAGGATGATGCGGCTGATGATGATGATGATGATGATGATGATGATGATGATGATGATGATGATGATGATGATGATGATGATGCTGATGCTGATGATGATGATGCTGATGCTGATCATGATTATGATGATGATGATGATGATGATGATGATGATGATGATGATGATGATGATGATGATGATGGTGATGGTGATGGTGATGGTGATGGTGATGATGATGATGATGATTATGATGATGATGATGATGATGATGATGATGATGATGAATCCTAAGGGAATTTGAGCCCTGCCGACCTTCAAGATCCTGGAGCCTAGCTGCAGACCAGGTCTCGCACGGCGGTCCAACAAGGACCGCCGGCACCACCCCCGAGGACATTAGGCCCATCCAAGACTGGATAAACGATTCCCTAAACAAGTCCCCTCGACTTCTGTCGTTGGCCACATTATCGTGGCTCAGCTGGCAACGAACAGGGAACGATGCTAGGAACCCGCCGCTACGAACGAACATCCGGTCTCAGGTGCTTTTTTTCCTTCCCTGTGGGAGGGGGGATGCACTGCGATGTGTGAGAAGTTTAAGTATACCATCCAGCTGCCTGCGGCAAACCCCGCCACCGTGCCAACGCAGAAGCGCAGCAGGAGGGAGGTTTAGTTGAAGACCCGCTCCCGTTCAGACAGGGCGCTGAACTGGAACGGGTCTTGAACCCCCCTCCTTGACCAAAGCCTCGCTCTGCTCTTCCTTTCTCGTCGCTCCTCCTCCTCCTCCTCCTCCTCCTCCTCCTCCTTTTCCTCCTCCTCCTCCTTCTATTCCCTCTCCTCCCTCCCCCCTCTTGAAGGAACCGGCTGGCGGGCCAGTTCGGGCTTTTCGGCCACCATTTCGCGGGCACGCTCGGACTCCGCCCTCGGTCCGCGACCTAGCGCTGGCGGCCGCGCCCGAGGGTGGCTGGGCGACCGTCGCGGACCCCGCGGGGGGCCAACTGCATCGCGCCGCCCGATACGCCGCCACCCCAGCGGGCCACCGCTACCCGAGAGACATGGGGCCAAGGGCTACATACTTGTCAGCGCCCATAGAGAGCATGACACTCTCGCGTGCCCTGGTTTGCGCGCGAGGCTCAGGCCACGATGTGCCGGGCGCTAAGTCACCCAGGCGGTCGAGTCTAGGCGCAGCGAGCACGGGTTGGGCGCGCATGTCGTCGGCGCTGACGCACGCCCTGTGGCGGGCCAGCTCGACGATGACGAACAGCTCGTGGACGCCCAGGCCCGCGGCGTCGCGCTCGCGGATGGTGGCGCGCGTTCCTGCGCGGGCGCGGCAGAGGGCGCGCGCAAGAGAACCGTTAGAGTTGATGTGGGGATTTCTCTTGGCGCTCTTGCAGAGCTCGGGCGAAGGCAATGCAGATGCGCCCATCGCCTTCGCAGGGAAAGGCGCCAATCGCGCCGGGAGGGGCCGGCGGCGCCACGGGGGCGGCGCGCTCCAGCCGGCGTCGAGCTGCTTCGACACTCCCGCCGCAGAGGTGGCGCGCGCCGGTGCCTGGCGGGGAACAGCTGGGGGCCGCCGTGGCGCCGCGCGCCCGGAGCCCTTCAGGAGAGCGCAGACCTTGGCCAAACAGCGGCAAATGTCCATGAGAGAAGTCTGCTCAGACCCCGACTTGCCCACCAAGGTCCGCGCGATCTTCGCGGGCTCGATCGCGGCGCGGGCTCCAGGTGCTACTCTGCAGGAGCCTGCTCGCCGACTCGGAGCAGCGATGCGCCCGCGGCACTGCGAGGTAAGACCACCGCGCTGCCGCGAGAAGCGCCCCAATAAGTGGGATCCTGAATCGAGACGGAGGAGGGCGAGCGCGAGAGTGCCCGGGCGCTGAGGGCGACATGGCACCATTCAAGGCGAGACGGGTTAGACCCAGCGACCTCATCAGAGTGGCCAAGCTGAGGCTGTTCGGAGAGCTGCTGCAGTCATGGCCAAAGGCTATGTTCGCGCTCGTGGCGAGGCCGACGATGACGCCGTTGGCGGCGCCGAGGCGAATCTGACCCATGATGCTGCTGGGCCACTTCATATGGATGCGACGACGCACCAACATGTTCCAGGACCCAGGCGACCCCGCAGTAGACCAGGGACTCTGGAAAAGACAGTCGGCGCATCGCAGGAGAGCTGAGAGCGCAAGCCCACCGACGAGCTGCAAGCGGCGGCAGAAGGGCCAGGCAGGCGCGCCCAAGCGACGGCGGCGGCCAGGCGCTTCGTCGCAGAGGCAAGGCTGGCAGGCGCGCCGCTGTAAAAAGGCCGGCCGCCCATGCGGGCCACCGCGGCGCCCGGGACAGCGGCGGCAGCGGCAGGCGACGGCGCGATGGCCACGCCCGCGGCGCGCTGAAGGACCAAAGCGACAAAGAGGGCTGCGCGCACACATGGCCAGAGAGCGGTGGACCATGACGCGACTGGCGCGCAAGTGGGCGCAAGGCGCCATGCTGCGCCGCGCCTGCACGATGCGCTTCCAGCGTCCACGTCTTCTGGGGCATCTGGCGGCTGCTTCCCGAGCCTTCCTCGCGCTGGCGATAGGGGGCGCCCTGCCACCTGAGGGGGGCGGGCGCGCGCTTGGAGGGCAACTTCCCCAAGCGGGCTGCGCGGCAGGTCCCGCGATGAAGTCGCCGCGGCGGCGCGAGCGCATCGCCGACGCGGCGGCAAGAGCAGCCCCGCTCGACTGCGACTGCGCGCTCGAACGCAAGGCCAAGTTCATCCCGCAGGCGGACGCGGTCGCTCAGCAGCAAGATACACAAGAGCAAGCGCTTCTGGAACGCTGCGCCTTCGACCAGTTCAGGACAGGAGAACGCGAGGGAATACTCACATAGCCAGTTCGTTGTGTCATCCATATCTCAGAGGTTGATATTCAAATAATATTGCGGAGTGCGACGCAGAGGTGGCGTGCAAGAGTGTCTCCATAGCTCCGCGGCACACGCAGAGCTGCAGGAGACGATCTGAGTTGTCGCCTTGAGCGTCGACGGTGCCATCGGCGCGGGCAGGTGCGACCTGGCGAAGTCACAGAGTGTAGCCACCGTCACTGAGGCGGGTCGCTCGACGCAGGCGGTCACAGTGGAGGCGGCCCCTCCAGGCGAGACTTCGAGCGCGGCGAGGTGGGCAGATGCCCCAGAACCGCCGCCGAGGCGGCGGCGCGAATCGCATTGGGCCGCGCCGGATGCGACAAAGAAGCAGCGGCTGCAGCTCCAGGCGGGCAGCGCGCTGCTCCGGGCGATGGCGCCGTTGATGGGGGACTGCTTTCTCGCGGGACCGGCGGCCTGGATGGAGCGCCCCATCTTGGCCACTTGGCGCTAGTTGGCGGTCGCATCGTGAGCGCGGGGGCCGATCTTGACCCAGTGGGGCTGCCTGGTGGTCTCGACCGCCGGTGTCGACCAGCGCGAGTTCGGCGGCCAGGCGGGGAGGGCGCCGACGCGCACCGCGGTCCTTATATTGAGAGGCCTGCACGCGCGCGCTCCACCAGCGCGCCGGGCGGCGGGCGCTGCTCGCACGGACGAGGACCGCGCGTCGCACTTCAGAGCAAAACAAGACGGCGCGGGAGGGGGGGGCATTTCATAACGGCCGCCAAGAAGGTTTTCCCCCCCAAGCCATGGCGATACGCTCGCTGAGTCCACGGTAGCCGCGGTTTCAATTTATTTTGGTGGGAACCCAGTGTCGAAGGAGCTCTGTGGTCCCGAGGTGGAAGGTTTGAAAGATTTGTCCGCGGGGTCGGTCCCGGCGGAGGGAACGGGCGCGCCTGGGCGGCAGACTTTTGCAGGCGCGCTCGGAATTTTCGGCCCGATCCTGAGCGCCGCAGGTCTCGGCGCACCACGGCCCACGAGGTGGAGCCGAATCCCACCCCATCCAGGAACGCGGAAGCTAGGACCAGTGGCCGACCCAGGTGCCTTGGGATCTCACCCAACAGGACTTCCTGTTCAATGCTGTAGGCCTTGTCTTCTGACCCTCCTCCCCCGCCCATCCCTCCCCCCCACTGACCGACGCACAGCGGAAGCGGATTGCCAAGAGCCGAGCCGACGCGACCCGGCGGAGGGGAGGGTCCCGCAAACGGCCCAGGCCGGTTTTTTGTTCCATTCTTGACTCCGTTTGAAGAGCCTGGTTCCCCCCCCGGGGTGCTGGGGGGGGCACGGGAGTTCCCAGCGTCCCCTTCCAGAGGAGGGGTGCACGCGACAGCCGCGCGTGGGGCGTGCGGCATCTTGATCAGACGTTGTAGGAGTCCACCTCCGTGTTGTGCCCGACCGACCTCTTCAAGGCATGTTGGAGGCTTTTGCTGGGGGCGTGTGTGAGGTTCCTCGAGGGCGTCTCGGGGGTCCTCCTGGGCGTCCTCCTCCTCCTCCTCCTCCTCCTCCTCCTCCTCCTCCTCCTCCTCCTCGTGGGAGTTTGTGGGCGCGTCGAGGCATCCGTGGAGCCCCCTCGGAGCTCCTCGGGGGCATGTGGGGGGTCTCGGGGGACATCTCGGCGAGAAACGCTCCCACTGTCACTTCGAATTCTCTCAGGAGGGAAAAAACACACAGACACAATTAATCGTCGATCCCCCAGAAAATATGGGAAAATATGGGAAGTGGGGGGGGAGACAAAAACCCAGAAAATATTGGAAACATATGGGGGATATTTCTATTTGTGTGTACTTATTTGTGTGTGTCCCAGGGCCCCTTCATTCTCCCTCTTTTACTCCTTTTGGGGCCTCTCTCGTCTTAGGGCAGCTTGGGCCTTCTTGAAGCTCGAGTGGGGCGTCTCGGGGACCTCTTGGGTGCAGTTTTGGCCGTGCTTGGGCGACACCAGGGACGTATTTGGGGCTTTCCAAAGACTTGACGAGGTGATCATCCCCAAATTCTGCCCATCCAACGAAACTCAATGATATGTGGTGCCCCTTCGGGGCCTCCTGAGCGTCCTCAGGGAACACTCTTAGGGCGCACTGGGTGCCTCTTTGGCCATCTTGAGGCCATCTTGGGCCGTTTGGGGGCCCTCTTGCGCCGTCTCGAGGTTCGTTTGGTCGTCTTTGGATTGATTTGGGCGCGTCCTTGGGCCTTCTTGGCGCGTCCTCTGGCGGTATTGGAGCCGCCTTCAGGCCGAAAAGGGTGTCGGAGAGCAACACCAGGAAGGTGACACATATTCTGAGAACGCACGCGATGAGGGGGGAGCGGCCCTAGAGCACTCTCAGCAAACTCTTCCAGGCAACAAACAGTCCTTCTAGCACGCCCACGTCCCGCGCCGAAGGCACGGTGGCGGATCAGTACGCGATGATACGTTCGCTTGTCAGGAGGGGAAAAACAGACACAATTGGTCGTCGATTCCCGACAAATTCGACAAACAACTGCGTGCATTTGTGTGTGTGTGTGCATTTGTGTGTGTGTGTGTGTGTGTGTGTGTGTGTGTGTGTGTGTGTGTGTGTGTGTGTGTGTGTGTGTGTGTGTGTGTGTGTGTGTGTGTGTGTGTGTGTGTGTGTGTGTGTGTGTGTGTGTGTGTGTGTGTCCCAGGGCCCCTTCATGTTCGCCCGCCCCAAAATCGAGAGCTCTCTGCGACGTTCCGAGCCGTGGCAGGTGCGAGAGCGTGCGCGCGGGCGCGTGCGGCAGCCGACGGAGTTCAGGGGGCCCGAGCTCGGCGTCCAGCGGCACCCCTCTGCCCCCGAGGCAGAGCCACAGGGGCGAGTGAGAGCCCCGGCGTCCTCTGCGCACCGCGGCCACGCTGTGCTCCACCATGCGCCCCTCCCGCTGCTGCAGAGCCTGCGGCGGCCACGGCTTCCCCCCCCCGTGCTCTCCAGAGACCTCCTTGGAGCCTTGCGGGCGCATGCGTGCAGCGTCCCGACCTCACGTCGACCAGCACCCGGGACTCCGACCAATGACGTAGTCTCGCCCAACCCGCGCCGACACCGACACCAAGGACTTTCTTTTCCTTCTCCCCCCCCTCCTCTTCCTAACTTTTACATGTCTCGCATTGCATGAATCCAGACACCTCAGATCCTAGAGGCCATGGCCTCACCCACCTGGTCTGCTCTAGACCCGGACGCTGTCCGCAACGGTGGTCGCATCGCATCGCATCGCATCGCATCGCATCGCATCGCGTGCAGCGTCCGATCCTTCTGCGAAGCCCGAGGACCTGCAGGCGTCGCTCCGCCTCGCCCCCCTCCCCCTGCCTTCGCCCTCCTCCCTGCCTCCCGCTCCCTCCTTCCCCCCCCCCTCTCCCTCCCCTGCCCCCCCCCCCCTCCCCGCTCCTCCTCCCCCCCCCCCCTCCGCCGCCAGGAGCTGCAGGCGCCCTCGGAGAGCGACGCGCCCGGCCGGGCTCCAGGCCCGCCCCCCTCCCCCCCGCGGGCGGCAGAGGGCACCGCTCGGGCGCGTGCATTTTTGTTTTCCTCGGCGAGGATTATGGAGGAGCATCCTGGATGACTCAGCGAGAAAAGCACGCACGAAGTCGAAAAGCACACGCACGAAATCGAAAAATACACGAGGGAGCATCCTGGATGACTTAGCGAAAAAAGCACGCACGTGGAGGAGCATCCTGGATAACTCAGCGAGAAAAGCACGCGCGAAAGCGAAAAATGCACGAGGGATGGACGTCCGAGCGGTGGCGAGCGGGGGGGCGCGAGGGGGGGCCTCGGGCGCCCCCCGGCATGGGGCGCGGGCCCCGGGCCCGGGGCTCCGAGAGCGGAGGGCGTGTGGCGGCGGCGCGCACGCGCCAAGGGGTCCGGGCATCGCTCGGACGTGTGCAATTTTTTTTTTTCCTCGGCGAGGACCCTGGAGGAGCATCCTGGATCATCGAGCAAGCAAAAAACACGCGCGAAGCCGAAAAAAGGCGCAGGGAGTGGACGTCCGAGCGATGGCAGGGGGGGGGGACTGGCGCGGGGGGGCCGGCAGACTTCCAGCACTGCACGGCGGGGGGGGCCTGTCTGGGCGCACGGGCCTGCCCAGGAGTCTCGAGGAGCCTCCGAGGGAGGCGCCCTCTGCAGCCGGGGGGGGCGCCTGTGAAGAGGACGGGGCCCCTGCCTTCCAAGAGCTCCCCCCGCCTTCTCAGAAGCCCGCCCCCTGCGCCCGCCCCCCCCCCCCCCCCCCCCCGCCCGCGCCGCCAAGCTTTGCCGTGCCGGCGATGCCTGGCAGCCTCCGCGGGGGCCTCCGGAGTCTGCCAGACGCCCTCGGAGAGCTGGGGAGGAGCGGGCGGCGCACTGGGCCAGCCTTGTCTCCTACAGCCTCCAGGAGAGCCGGAGCCGCGGCGCGGAGCCGTCTTTCGCTGCAGGCGCGTGGCGCGTTCCCCTAAGGCTTCTCGTCGGCCCGGCGCCGCTGTGCAGCTCGGCCTCCCCCCCCTCGCGCGCGGTCATCGAGAACGGGGGGCATGGGGCTCGGTGAGTTCCCAGGTCTCCCGCGAGCACCTTCTGTTCAAGCTCGTCTGTTCTTGCTCCTCGACTGCGGCTGTCGGGGCCTTCGGAAGTGCACCCAGGATGCGCAGCTGCCCCTGGGGAGGCGGTCGGGACCTCTGGGGCCGCGGATCGAGCGGCGGCACGTCGGCTCGCGCCTGGGCCTGCTGCACTTCCTGAGTGCGCCTCGGCAGGCGCGCGGCTGCGAGGAGGGTGGCGAGGAGGGCGGCGGCGACGGCAGCGGGGGCGACTGCGGGGGGCCGTCTTCGGGCCGCGGGGCCCGCAAGAGAAGGCCCGCGGTGCACGGTGTCGGGCGCTGGCACGGGGGCCACGTGTCGAAGCAGGCACGCGCGATCGGAGGCTTGGGCCCTGCCTCGGGAGGACGCTGACGACCCGATCGCAGGCCAGGCCTAGGACTAGGTCGGGCCTGCCCCCCTACAGGGAGATTTTCGACGAAACATAAAGAATGCCCCCAAAACAATCAGGGGACTATTTTTGGAGTATTTTTTGGCCCTTTTTTGAGTATTTTGGGGGTATTTTTATTTTCGTCGAAAATCGCCCTGTAGGGGGATACGCTCGACATGAGCCTAGCTAGGAGTGGGGCTGGTGGATGCGCCGTCCTGACTCGGCTGGGGGGTCGCGTCCACCGGCCGGCGTGAGGCACGGGAGTTGCCCTGCCACGACCGGTGCACGCATGTGGATAGCTGGCGTCCTCACATGAAACGGGCCGAGGGAGGGAAGAAAGGAGGAGGAGGAGGAGGAGGAGGAGGAGGAGGAGGAGAAGGAAAAGGAGGGGGAGAAGGAGGAGGAGGCGGAGGCGGAGACGGCGGCGGCGGCGGCGGCGGCGGTGGTGGTGGTGGAGAGAGGGAGGAATGAGAGGATACATATGGATACACAGCAGGAGGAGAAAGTGCAGACACAGCAGAAGGAGGAACACCAGGGGAAGGAGATGGATGGTGCTGCTGCTGAGGAGGAGAAGGAGGAAGAGGAGGAGGAGGAGGAGGAGGAGGAGGAGGAGGAGGAGGAGGAGGAGAGGAAGGAAGGAGGAGGAGGAGGAGGAGGAGGAGGAGGAGGAGGGAAAGGAAGGACAGTGGTAGCAGGAGCAGGATACAGGAGAGTGGGAGGGAGGGATGGGGCCAGGGTTGGAGGAGCTCGATGGGGGGGCTGCAGGACGGGAAGCGCAGAGAGCAGGTAAAAGGGCCCCCGCTGCCCTCCGCTGGCGCGCCTTCTCGAGAGGCGGCCTTACAGCCAAGACGCTGAAGGAAGGAACAGGTTGGATTCGGAGGGGGCTCGATGTTCCTCACGCCCTTCCGCGGTTGTTCCTCCAGCCCTTTTCGTGCACCCAGGCGTGTTTTGAAGCCCCAGAGGAGCATCGTTCCTTATTTTTAGCGTTCCTTACTTCAGCAGCCCGACTGTACCTTTACGGAGGCACTTGCGTGGCGGAGCGAGCCCGCGCCTCCGCTGCGAGGCTCGCCCCCGCAGCGCGGTTCGCTCGTGAACCTCTCTCTCTGTGAAGACGCCGCGCCACCGGCGCCCGGGCCGGAAGCCGCGGACGACTCGCGTGCACCGTGCTGCGCTGGCATCTCCCGCGGAGGCGTCGTCGATTCTCGGCCCAGGAGCGGTGCGGCGGCGCGCAGTTTCCCGGCCCTCGGGGCCGGAAAGTGGTGCACCGTGCCGCGCCTGAGCGGGGCCGGCGGAGAGTCCAGACGTGGTGCGGTGCACGGGTGCTGCTCTCGCACCGAAGCTGTCAGGAGGGGAGAAAACACACAGACACAATTAATCGTCGATTCCCAAGAAAGTATGGGAAAATACGGGAAGTGGGGGAGAAGACAAGAACCCAGAAAAGATGAGGAAATATGGGGAATCCTCTTGTTTTTCTGTGTATTCACTTGTGTGTCCCAGGGCCCCTTCGAGCTGGAAGCGCTCCGGGAGGCGACCTGCCGCGGCCGCGGAGGCGGGCACCCCCCACGGGGGCGGCGTGGCGGCCGGCCGGCGCAGGAGACGCCTCGGCCCTCGGCGCCGGGACGAAGAAGGCCATGCGCATCGACCGCCCGGCGCGCAGGGCGGCAGTGGCAGGGGCAGCGCTGGGGGGGGCAGGCCCAGGGTTACTTGGCATCGCTCGGACGTGTGCATGTTTCCCTCGGCGAGGACCATCGAGGAGCATTCTTGATCACTTGGCGAAAAAACCACGCACGAAACCCAAAAAAACACAGGGAATGGACGTCCGAGCGATGGCCAGCCAACCGGTGCGGTGACCACACCGTGCGGTGAGTCGGTGGGGGTTCGGGCTCACCGCACGGTTGTGGGACTCGGGTCGTGCTCCGAGGACGTCTCGGGCGGCAGTGGCCTCCAGGGTCCCAAAACCGTGCGGTGACGGACCGTGCGGTGAGGTCTGGGGGGATTTCGAGATCACCGCACGGTCTGTCGCCGCACCGTTTCGAGACTCCAAAGTTAGGTCGGGCCTGTCCCCCTACAGGGGGAGTTTCGACGAAAAATAACAAACACCCAAAAATAGTCAACAAAAAATAGTTTTGGGACAATTTTTCGAGTATTTGTTTGCCCTTTTGGGGCATTTTTGGGGTATCTTTTGCAACAAAAAATACACCAACAATGCACCAACAATAGTCAAACAAATACTCAGGGGACTATTTTTCGAGTATGAGTGTTACCAATTGTGGGGTATTTTTATGGGTATGTTTTATTATTCGTCGAACATCCCCCTGTAGGGGGACATGCCCGACATAAGCCCTTTTGGGGCATTTTTGGGGTATCTTTTGTTGCCCTTTTGGGGCATGTTTGTTCTTCGTCGCCCTTTTGTTGCCCTTTTGTTGTCCTTTTGGGGTATCTTTTGTGGTCCTTTGCCGACATGTTTCGAGTATTTGTGTTCCCCTTTGGGGGCATGTTTGGGGTATCTTTTGTTCTTCGTCGAAAATCCCCCTGGAGGGGGACACGCCCCACATAAGCCCAGGGTGAGGTCGGGCCTGTCCCCGTACAGGGGGATTTTCGACGAAAAATAAGAAATACCCCCAACATAGTCCAAACATAGTCCAACAATAGTTGATTTGTCGAGTATGTTTTGACCCTTTGGGGGCATGTTTGGTGTATTTTTTGAAACATTTTCGTCGAACACCCCCCTGGAGGGGGACACGCCCGACATAAGCCCAGGGGGGGGGGGGGGGGGCACAGCGGCCCCCAGCCGCCCACCCTTTGGGGGCATTTTTGGTGTATTTTTTAATTTGTCGTCGAACACCCCCCTGTAGGGGGACACGCCCGACATAAGCCCAGGGGGGGAGGAACAGCGGCCCCCAGCCGCCCCCTCCTCGCCGAGCGGGGCCCCGCGGCCCGCCCCAGGAGAGCGTGTGCGGCTTCGCCGTCGGGGGCCCGTCGCCGAGCTGCCGGGCGGCGTGGCGCAGAGGCCGGGGGCGGTGCTCCGCCCCCACGAGCCTCGAGTCGGGCGGGGTAACCCCTCCAGGGGGATTGTCGACGAAAAATAAGAAATGCCCCAACAATAACCCCAGAAAGCAGTCCAAAAATAGTCTGGGGATTTGTTTTCTGGCATTGTTTAATGCCTTTTTGGTGTGTTTTGGGCGGGGTACCCCTCCAGGGGGATTTTCTAGGGGGCCAGGTGCGAACCCTACCCCTACCCCCCACGACTTCTGAGGGGGAGGGTGGGGTTCACTTCGCTCGAGAGCTCCCGAACAAAGTGAACCCCACCCTCCCCCTCAGAAATCGCGGGGGGTAGGGGTAGGGTTCGCACCTGGCCCCCTATTTTCGACGAGAAACGAAGAATACCACCAAAAATAACCCAAAAGCAGTCCAAAAATGGTTTGGGGACTATTTTTTGCATTGTTTTAGTGCCTTTTTGGTGCATTTTGGGGGTATTCTTAATTGTTCGTCGAAAATCCCTTTGTAGGGGGACAGGCCCGACTTAACACGAGTCAGTCCCCCCCTTACGTTGCCCCAGTGGGCAGGGGGGTGGTCGGCGTGCTCGTCGGGCCGGCCAGGCGGCCGGCGATTCGTGTGTTGTTTGGCTCCAGTCGTTGCCTACGCTCCTCGGCACGAACGATATGGGTACGGAAAGAATGGGCACAATGCCCAACAGCAGTTTTTGTTCATTTTGAACAGGACTCGCTGTCCACGCCGCCGCGGCCTGTGTCCATTCTAGACAGAAGGCCGCCTGCCCAACAGCGGCCGCTGTTGGTCTGGGACAACATTTGTTGTTGGGCATTGTGCCCATTGTTCCCGTACCCATTTCGGGCGTCCAAAGCTTCCCCCCTTCGGTTGGGCCGATATGCGCGTACTGCTGCACGCGCTGGGACGCAACTGGCGTCTTAGCAGAAAGAGGGTGCGCGCGCCTCTCTTTCATTGCGCGTATATCTTTCCAGTCTCACATATACTTATCTGGCTATTGCAGCGATGTCGGACAACATAAGGCCCATCCAGTTGCAAAATCCATACGAACGGATCCCCAGGGGTAAGATATCGGAGCAGGGAAGACGTTACTTTTTCAGGGAATGACGACTTTGTGGTGAAAGACAGGCTCTCAGACGAAAACGTTACGAATATGGAACTTGACGGAGTAATTCATTATGACCACCACAGTAACATAGTTCGAATAATTTGAGTAATTGTGGTGAGAGTGCGAAGTTCGACGGAGCCATATGTGATTCCGTGACGAAAACCCATAGGAGGGCGCGGAAGTATAAGGCATGTCCATTGTTTCCAGAAAGAAGAACCATGTATTCGAGGGTTCTTTCCCGTGGAAGCGGAGAGTCTGTTCGGCAATCCGAGCAGCGTCAGAAGTATCTACTATCTCCCGATAGTTGCCGGGGGAAGCATAGCAGTAATGGTGCCAGGCCAGCGGTGGAAATCGTCAGTGCGGAAGGTGTGGCTTTGGCGTCAGCAGACGGCTTGAGGACCCCGCGTGAGGCGCATGCAGATGCACCTGGGGCGGAAGACCCAGTTGTCCACGACGCTGAGATCAGCGGTGCGTTGTCCGAGATCGTCGAGGTTGATTCTGGTGATCCTTGGGTTGAACCGGCGGGCCACGGCGTTTTTGGCGCTGGTTTCGAAGGAGGCGAGGATTTCGTTCATAAGATCCCAGTGCCATTTGACACGCCCGAGTCGTTGGCCACGGCGCAGAGCCCGCAGGGAACGACTTCCGACGCAGTTGAGGGCTTCATGATGCCTAATGCTCGACCTCCCCAAGCGTGAGGAGTACGTTCCAAGCGCAGGTGCGGGAGGGGACAACTCCAGGTCGAATTCTTGCCAGTCGAGAAGGATGAGGGAAGTAGAGCCGGGATTCGACGACCCCGTCAGAGCGAAGAAAATTCGGCTTGTCCCGTCACGGACGCGTCGACCCGAGGTTGTCCCAGGCATGGCGCGGGCCGCGGTGGCTTCACCGTCGGTCCTTTGCAACTTTCCATTGGAGCTCCCAGACAGGGCGCAGGTCACGGCGGCTATGCCGTCGGCCCCGCGTCTGACTTCCATGGCAATCTCTTAAGCGCCGACAGATTTGGGCGCGCCGTTGCAATTGTGGTGCGGCCCAAGCACAGCTGCTGTCCCGATGGGCCTGAGGTTCACTGTCCGAACTGCGCTGCCGCTTTGGAGCGATAACATGAAGTTCATTGGGTCGGCGCGCCAGGACGGTTTGACACAGGCAGACTTTAATATCATGCACCGTGGCGAGCGGGCCGAAATCCTGAGGGGTCGAAGAGGGGTTTGGAACAAAATGATGGAAGATGCCAGCGTGGGCGCCCCCTTCAATACTGATCTTGGGGAGTGGGGGCCACGCCGTAGACCCGCGGGTGCAACGAGGCCGAGTCACCTCGCGACCGGGAATAAGGGCGGGGCGACGGGGCGCCGAACATTCGGTCTCCCAATCCTCGAACCCCCCGACTAGTCGGATGACCCCAACGCGGAAGAAGATGAATCGGCGAAGCCACCCACCCAGGGTGGCGGTGTTGCCAGGTCGCTGAGCAGCATAAGTTTTCGACATTGACCTGTCAGATTGCAGTTGCGCTTGTGGGGCCGAATGCCGGCCCCGCCGATCGCGGTCCCGCAGTCGCTGGTTCGGCAGCTGGCGCGGGAGCCGCTCTGCGGGGGGCGCTGGCGGCGGCCCGCGTCGATCCCGCGCAGCTGGAGTTGGGGTGCGCCTGTTCTAGATAATGCGGGGTGGCATTGTTCCAGTCGCCGCGGATGGGCGCGCTCTCCTCGGCGGCGCGGGGGCAGGAGCTAGCGCGCGTCAACTGTTCCCCGAGCGCGACGCGCTGATCTGGGCCGAGGACAAAGTTTTGAACGCCCTGGCGCGGGTCAATCAATGCCGACAGCATGCGTTCGATCGCGCCGCTGCGATGCGGGTCGCAGAGGCCAGGGTGCACAGCGCCCCGGGCCATCGCGATTCCCCCCCCGCGACGATTTTCCTCGGGGGGGAACAGCGGACGTGGGAGAGGCAAAGATATCGGCATCGCAGATGGCCAAGATTGATGACAGGCTAGGGGGCTAGTCGCCGCGCCCAGGCGAAAGCGAGCAAGCAAATTGCCCGACTGGAGCGGGGGAGAATCGCTCGCCAAGTCGGGCGAGTCGCTCCGACGGTTCACCGACGACGAGGGCCGCGCCATCGCGGGCCGTCGAACGGCCGCCGACGATTTATAAACCGCTCGAGAGAAACTGACGGAGGCGCGCGCTTCCAGGAAAAAGGGGCGGGTTTGATGCGTTGGGAATGCGAAAACCTATCGCCGCGTCTCCGCGCGGAGGCCCGCCTCGCGGAATCCCCCGCGCGTCGGCGGGCGAGGGGGGGGGGGGGGGGCGAACGGGGAAAACCCGGGGGGGCTTTGTTTCGACGGCGCCAATTGAGCCCGCAGGCCCCGCGGAAGTTCAAGGACGCACGGGCGCATGCAGAGGGGGAGTTGGATGCCCGTTGAGTGCCCGGAAGGAGGGCGGGACGAGCCGCCCTGAGATGCGGCGTCGAGCGCGTTCGACGCGGGGGTTCTCTGCGCTCGCCGGATCAAGGGGCTGGTCAATGCGAGGGGGCAAGGCGACTGGGACAGGAATG